GTAGAGTCCCAAGAAACACCATGTTACTCTCCTGTAAATACAATAAAACTACAACGTAACAGTTTATATATGAGGGTAACAGTCCCAAGAAACACCATGTTACTCTCCTGTAAATACAATAAAACTACAACGTAACAGTTTATATATGAGGGTAACAGTCCCAAGAAACACCATGTTACTCTCCTGTAAATACAATAAAACTACAACGTAACAGTTTATATATGAGGGTAACAGTCCCAAGAAACACCATGTTACTCTCCTGTAAATACAATAAAACTACAAGGTAACAGTTTATATATGAGGGTAACAGTCCCAAGAAACACCATGTTACTCTCCTGTAAATACAACAAAACTACAAGGTAACAGTTTCTCTACTACAACTTATTTTATTGTATGCATTATGACATAGTAAGAATGTTTTATTTTGCTATTCTACAGGTGTGCCCCATGATACAGAGTATTTTCTCTCTACTGGTGCACCATTTATGGACCCCAAATTTTACCCAAAGAACCTGAAGTTGTCTCAAGCCAAGTGGACGGAATCTGATCGAGAAATGAGTCAATTCCTCTTGGAAGTCTGGGGCAGTTTTGCCAAATATGGGTATGTCTTCTGTTATTAGGTAATACAGTAAATAACTTGTTGACCTGAAATACTGACACTGTTGGTGTCTGGAAACTTTGACATGGATTATTATGCTTCTGTTTGATTGTTTCAAATGGTGCGTAAATTCATATTGTCATCGGTAAATGTATGTACAACACAGATTTTTATGGGTTTGGCTGTACTTTATTTCTTCCAAAAACATAATAGTTGTGAAATGTATCTTAAACAGACACATCATAGCACAAATATTCTACATCAATATGTTCTGACCTAACTTAGGTATAGCTTGATGAATGCAATACTCCTGTAGGGTAGACAGTGAGGGCCTGCTAACTGGAGGTTTAAAGAATACAGGACCATGGAGTGTCTGACTGATCTTTAACAAAATTTGTTAGGTAAAAAAAAAAGGGTTTAAACACGGAAGATGCAAAAATAATAATCTTTAATAAAAAATCATAGCCGCATTGTAAAACAACCCGCCTCCCCAATTTTAAGTTATAATAAAACATTGTTTCACACAACATTAAGTTATGGTTCAAGTCCCAGCAAAATCTGCCTGGCAGGAAAGGACTAGGATTTCAATACTAGAAAATACATTAACAACTTAAGCCAGTATGCACACAGAACACTTTTGCACATGACCTTAGTCCACTCTGATGTGAGTGCTAGGGCAGGGAAACTCTGGGCCATTACCCAATTTGCTGACTGAAAAAAGACAGCTTTGTTTTTTGGAAAGTCAAGAGCTATCTTTCCTGTGTAGTTGCTTGAGTTGTTAAGAAGTGCCTTACTACTAAGTGCTGTGGGACTAGCCCTTTAGCTCAGTTGATGGAATACTTAATTGTCTACTGTGCAACAGGTCTTGGGCTCAAATCCAAGGCAAAGAAATTTATCTTAATATGAAAGAAATTTTTTGATATTAGTGCCCAACATGGGGCTCTCTTATGCTCCTTTATATATCTAGATTAATGACTTCTGACCTCCACAAGACTAACTTAGATAAATATATTGGGATCTATGTGAAACCTTCTTGAATAAATATCTTTTGATTATACTAGGCTTAGCTAGAGGAATAACTTCTGAGGCACATTTGGTCTAACTGAGTCAGTGTATTCAGATCTATATTAAATCTAGATAGAACAATAACTTTTGAGTCACACAACATCTAGCTATAGATGTTATAATAAGCCTAAGTAGATCTGGATGGGTGTTTTAAAACTTACATTGAACTTAGCTAGATGAATAACTTGTAGGCCATGTTAGGCTTAACTGGATGAATAACTTTTGAATCACACAGATTTAGCTAACTAAATAAGTTCTTAGCCACTGTAGACATAATTTGATATCTTTAGAGCCATATTTGGTTTAGCTGAATAAAGTAGTCTGAAAACTTTTGCATATTTCAGTTTACATGAAAATATATTTTAATTTACAGAACAGTATTATAAAGACTAAAATAAAGAAGTTTTTGCTTTTGATATTTTTATGGATGTTATTATTCATTATCTCCGACTTTTGATCTGTTTTATTCAAAAATATTTGTGTACAAGGGTTACTATTAAATACTTTAAGTGGAGCTTATAGCCTGAACATTTATTGTAAAGAATGATTAGTATTTTCATCAGGTCATGTATGTTACTAGAAATATAGAACTTTTCCTGAATTACATGTACATTGGAAACCATATAATAAAAAAGTACTATTTTGCACGTGACTCAATTATTGATTTTATTTGTGCTGAAAAGAGACTGGAAAAAAGTTTTAAGAATTTTGCAGTCTGTATTAAATGATTTTACATTTCACCAGCTATACTGAGGATAGGTTTGTTTGATTGAGAATTAATTTTCTTTTTCTCTTAGAAAGCCTACACAAACATCTTTCAACGGTATTCAACTGTGGAAACCAATGACTCTTAAAAACTTACAGTTCTTGGCTGTAAACACAGCCAACTTCACCAGTATCATGGAAAGAGATTACAGGCAAAAACAGTCTCAATTTTGGAATGACTACTTACCCTTCATTACAAGCAAGCTGCTCCCAACCTGGGCTCCAACCTTCCAGCCGTACAAGGAAGAATTTCGTATCTACAGTGCTTCCCTGTGGGGTGTGGTGGGAGCTGCAGGGTTGTTTCTTATGCTAACACTACTATTCTGCTGTTTGTACTGTAAAGCTAGGAAGGTTGATTCGTACTAACACGAAGCATATCAACAAATTGATTATATCAGTTCCAGTGAAACATGAACAACTGTTTTCGTGGCGTTAAGTAATATTTTTGGTAATACACTGTTCAGCACAAAATACAAAACCACATTGGTTTGGAAAATTATGTTCTTTACTTTATAATATAAGAAGAAATTAAATTTTTATATTTTTTCATCACTTGTAACTATTTAGCTTAGTGAGGAAATGTTTGTTGCAATTAATATAAAATATTTTAATGATTAGTGGTTGTGTTCTTTTTTAGAAGATTGTTGATTATAGTACATTTCTGGTGGTTTGTCTAATTACTGATGAAAAAAACAGTATTTCTAAATTATAATATCATTAAGCATTTGTCATTACATCTCATTATATTTTAATTCCATTTTCAGCACTGCCAGAATAAGGTAATTAAATCACACATTAGTCATTCGTACATGTATTTTAGCTAAGAAATAAAAACTCCCTCAGCTCAATCTTTGATAAGCCAAAAATTTATGGTGTCCAGTGGTACAAGATTTACCAGCAAAAAAAAAAAACAAACTTCAATTTAACTTCAGCCACCAAGAAGCATGTTAATAATAATAATAAGAAAATGTATGACTTCAAGAAGCATTGCAATAAGCATAAGATATACATTGTAGTTTCAACCCACTTCAGAATGTTAAATCTTACAGTTTTGTGTCAGTATTAAATACTTGTGAAACTTGTTGGATACAGCAGTGGTTATTACGTAAACCCACAATAATGAACTACACAAAGTAAAGTAAGGAAGAGATAGAACATTATCTGTGTACGAAGGAAGAGATAGAACATTATTTGTGTACGAAGGAAGAGAATAGAACATTATTTGTGTATGAAGGAAGAGATAGAACATTATTTGTGTACGAAGGAAGAGAAAGAACATTATCTATGTATGAAGGAAGATAT